GAAAGCAGATTTAACATTTTTGGTCCAGTTGCCAGAAAAAGGTGGCACATATCGTGAAGGTGGGGGTTGATGGTAAAACAGTAAATAACCAAGAGAGACAGAGAACAGAGGGAGAAAACAACAGTTAAACAGTCAAAGGGATGGATAAGGGGAAGCTAAGGAGACAGAAAAGCTGCTAATGGGGACCATAACAAGGCTGAAATGGGTTGGCTGTGCTAAAAGTAGCCCATGTCATGCCAGAGCATGGGCTGTGGGGGTGGGTAAAAAATATGGAAGAAGGTATTGAGCCTCATAAATTTATTGAACTCGGTACTGAGTCCTGAAGTCCAGAGTCTCCAAAGACTCAATTGAGGCCACATGGGGAGAACTTTACAAAAATGAGGCAATGACATGGTTGGAGTGTACGATGGACCCACCTCAGTCTGAGAGAGATAAAGCACTGATAATATCGGCAAAATCTCAGAGAAGTTTAAAAATAATAAGGTTATAATTTCGGGGGAATTCAAACTCTCCAGTATGAACAGGAACAGGCAGATTGTGAAAAGCTCAGACAGGGCAGAATTCTTAAAGTTCCTCCATGTGATCTTTTTAAGGAAGTATATAGAAATTCCAACAGGAGACGGGGTAGGGCTGGAACAGCTGAGATTCACCAAGATATTGCCTGGCTAAAGCTTTTCACCCCTGAAGACAGACTTGATAGGCTGGGGTTGTTTTCATTGAAGCAGAGAAGTTTGAGGGGTGAAACTAATGAAGCTTAACAAAATTATGAGAAGTATAGTTTGGGTAAATAGAAAGGTACCTTTCCCCTTCATGGAAGTGTCAATAAACTAGGGACATAGATTTAAGGGGAGGAGCAACAGTTGCAGAGGGGAATTAAGGATAATATTTTTCAACAAGACAGTTGTGGTTGTCAGGAACTCACTGCCTGAAAGGAGACAGAATCTGTCACAACACTTGAGAAGTTATTCGTTTTTCCAGAATGCAGCACCTCACACCTAACTAAATTAAAATCCATCTGCCACTCCTTGGCCCATTGGCCCATTTTTGCTGTCCACTATATCTCCAACTTCGGTGTCATCTGCAAACTTACCGACCGTACGTTCTATGTTCACATCTAAATCATTTAGATAAATGATGAAAAGCAGCAGTGATCCCTGGCTTAAACTCAACTCCAGCCTTCTCTTTCTTTCTCTCTCTCTCTCTTGCATCAGAGAGCAGCATCTGAGGATATGGTAACTTCACTTTACTTTTACTACGTGACTCAAGAAGTGAATTCACCTCTTCTCTCTGTAACTAAAGGATAACATTTTTACTTATATGTTCAATTTATCTTGAGATAAAGGTTAACATCCCATTAGCCTTCTTAATGACTCACTGTTGCTGCATACTGGGGAGGCAACGGCCTAGTGGTGTTATTGCTGGACTGTTAATCCAGAGACCCAGGTAATGTCCTGGGGACCTACGTTTGAATCCTGCCACAGCAGAAAATAATCTGGAACTAAGAATCTAATGATGACCATGAATCCATTTTTAATTGTGGGGAAATCTGGTTCAGTGATGTCCCTCAGGGAAGAAAACTGTCATCCTTACCCGGTCTGGCCTACGTGTGACTCCAGGCCCACAGCAATGTGATTGACACTTAACTGCCATCTGGGCAATAAGTGCTGGCCTTGCCAGAAATGCCCACGTCCTGTGAACAAATAAAAAAAACTAACATATTTTCACCTCACAATTCTGCAGTTTTTCTCTGTTGAAGTAATGCTTTATTTCTATAATTCTTCCTTGTAAAGACTCCCTTCTCCCTCACAATGCTCATGTCTTACACTATCTCCCCCCACCGAGTTTTTCACTCCTCAAACTCCCATCCACCATCCCGAATTCTCCTGTCCACTCTCCCTTGCCTCCTTTCTCTATCTCATCTCTTCTTCCACTTCACCCTCACTCACTCCCTCCAATGAAACAACCCCTTCCCATAATGCCCCTGTTCTCTCAGACTTCCCCTTCATTTCCTCCTCTTCCTCACACTCACCTTCCCCGACCACTCGCCCGATCTCCCTCCACTTCCCCTTCACCCTCCATCATCACTCACACTTCCCCTGAGCCTCTCTCCCCTCACACTTTACCCTCATTCTACTCCAGCATCAAAACGTCACTCTCCCGGCCAACTTGCCCTCATAATCACTCATCCTCAGTCGACCCTCTCATTCACATTTCCCCCTCAGTTTCTCTTCAACCCACTCTCCTATCTCTCCCCCACCTCACTGCAACTCCCTGTCACTCACACACCCCCCGACTGTCCACACCCCTTCACTCACCCACACACTCTCGGCCTTCTCCCACATATCCCCCTTTCACTGTCACCTCCGTTCTGCTTGATTCTCCTCCTAATCATGGTCATCATCTCCACTTCCCTCCCCTTCTCCCTTACCCCATGCCTCTGCCTTCCTCCACAATATTGGCATCATCACTCAGCCTCTTTAATCACTGTATCGCTCTCTCCTCAAGTTTCCTTGTCTCTATCCCTCACTATATTCTCCCCTTTGGACTCCAAGCAGGCCCCGCTCCCCTCGACTTCCCTGCCCAACACTCATCTATGGACCTCACTCTCTACTCCCCACCCCTGACCTGCTCTTGCAGTCTCCCTCCTGCTCATTCCCCACTCCCATCTTTGACCACACACTCAGTTCTACTCTCCACCTCGAGCCTCTCCTACTCCCTCTCCACGCACTATTCCCTATCACTCACTAACCCCTCCAGCGACTTCCTATCCCGGTCACTTTCCCCTCAACATCATTCTCCTGTTGGGTTATCCCTGCCATATACTGTCGCTTAGCCATACAGACAATGGCCTCACACTTCCATCTCCAACTCCGATCCCACTCACGTCTACATTCCTCACATCCATCCATTTCTCTCGATTGTTCATCATTCAGCATTCCCTCACTTTGATTGTCCTCACTCCTAAATTCACTTTCCCCTATATTACACTCTCCCCTCCACCTCACTCTCCAATCTTTACTCCTTGCCACTCCACCTACCCCCTTATTCTCTTGTTTCTCATATTCTCCAATTGACCCTCCCCATCAGTGCTCCTCTCTCCTTCCTGCTCTCCCCTTCCCTCACAAATTCACAGTCCCCTCCTGCTCACTTCTAACATTGTCTCAGCTTACTCTCCCTCACTGGACCCTCAAACACAGCTTCTCAACCTGGTCACTCTCCCTTCAACCTTGCTCTTCTCTTGCCCTCTGCCTCACTGGCCCTCAGTCCCATCTCACATGTGCCTTCCCCTTCTACTCCACTCGTCCATACTCACTATGCCATGGTTTTCCCCAACTCTGACTCTCCTCTCCTTCTTAATCTTGCCTCCTTAAACTCCCCTTCCCCTTCACTCTCGCCTCCACATCTCTCACTCTCCACCTCATCCTCCAATTCACTCACCTCCTCCACATTCAAGAATCCCTCAAATCCTGAGACCTGTGTCTCTTCCCTTTTAAACAGCCCCCATCCTACACTCCCCTCGTCTTTACTCTCTTCTCCCCCTCAAACAAACTCCACCTCATCCTCCAATTCACTCACCTCCAGAATCCCCACAGCCCCTTATTTTGTTCCACTCTCACTTTCACATATCGCTTAATTCCCCTTCCTCTGAACCCTCCCCTCCCCGTCCCCCTCATTCCCCACCACTCACCCTCCTCTCCCACTCACTCATCCCTTCCATGTCCAAAAGTAACCTGCCTTTCTCCCTCATTATTCCCCCTCCAGCTCAGCCATTGCTTCCTCCTCACTCTCACCTCCCTTTCACTTTCCCCTCACTCACCCCATGTCCCTGCCTCAATCCTGCCCCTCACTCTCCTCATCTCCCCGTCTCAACTGTCCACTTATTTTTGTAGTCCTCCTGCCCTCATTCTGTACTTTCATCCGTTGTATCCTACCCCATCCCAGATGGTCCCCTCCCCTCATAAAACCTTCACACCCTTTCCCAAATCCTTCCTCAGCTTCCACTGATCCATCTTCCATCACTCCCCAACTCTTCACTCTGAATTTAAAAATCTCGCCTCATTTCCTCCCACTCTCTGCCATGATCCCCTCAGCCTTCCCTAAACCCTTCCTTACAAATGCAACTCCTCCCTCAATCTCACCACTGCCTTGCTGCCCATTGTTCTTGCCTCCCCTCACTGCCCCCATTCCCACTCACTCACATCACCTCGCCCTCCCCTTCCTACTACCTTTGATCCAGTTCTGTATACAAATGGCTAGTTCTCCCTGTATTCTATGTATTTCAGTTTCCCCTCCACAGTCCACTCCCCCTTGTCACTGCAATCACATTTCCCATCCCCTCAATTCCCCCTTCTTCTCCTCACTCCTCCTGGATCTCTAGATTATGCTGCACTCCCCGACCTGATCTTTCCTCCTCCTCCCCCTTCGGTTTACCCCTTCCCATCACTCTCACCCGAGCACTCAAACCTTCTCTTGTTCAGGCCCCCCTGACATCCCCCTGATTGTCCACACCTCTCTCTCTCTCATGCTGCCCCTTTACTCTCCCCTCCTCTCTTTCCCACTCCTCCTCACTCTTCACCCTCTCTCCCCTCTCCCCATCCCTCCCCTCAATCCCACATCTCCTCAATCTCCCCTTCTCTCTCACCTTCCATTGCCTGTCTCCCCTTCCCCTCCATCTCTCCTCCGTCTGCTCTTCCCATGCACTTCATTTCCCCAGCCACTCCCCTCCAAATGAGGCCTCTCACCTCCCCTCCCTCACTCTTCTCTCCCCATCCCCCATCTTACTCATCCTTCCTCCTCATTCCTCCACTCTCATCCTTCACTGCTCTGACCTTCACTCACTGCCCTTTCCCTCGCCCTCTCTCTCCTTCACACCCTCCCTTTCCGGCTCTCACCTTAGCCATCACCTTCCATCGCTCAGCCCCTCACTACCTGCTCCCCTTCGTTCCCCTCTCCCTCCCTCTCTCCCTCTCACTGACGGTGTTATTTGATCTCTCCCCCAGCTCCAGCCTCTCTGACTCTGGATCCGAACACAGCGCATCCCCGGCTCATCCTGTCTGAGGACCGGACCAGTGTGAGACTCGGAGACAAACCGCAGCCGCTCCCTGACTCCCCGGAAAGATTTGATCCCTGGCTCAGTGTCCTGGGATCAGAGGGATTCACATCAGGTGGACATTACTGGGAGGTGGAGGTGGGTGAGAAGACCGGGTGGAGTCTGGGAGTGGCCCGGGAGTCTGTGAAGAGGAAAGGGTTGGTCCACCCGGAGGAGGAGACCGGATTCTGGATTGTGGAGCTGTTTCCCGGAAAAGGTTATCTAGCCGCCACCTCCCCCTCAGTGACCCCCCTCTCCCCGAGTGTGAATCCCTGGAAGATCGGGGTTTTCCTGGACTATGAAGGTGGACAGGTGTCATTTTACAATGCGGACACCATGTCCCATCTCCACACTTTCACCCACACTTTCACTGAGAGGATCTTTCCCTACTTCAATCCGGGACGGAATATTGATGGGAAAAACTCCGCCCCGCTGACAATCTGCGGGACACTGACTGATGCATCCCATAATCCCTGAGGTTGTGAGCTGCAGGAATCCGGGGCCCTTCAGCCTGTAATGTTGCTCCACAGGCGGAAGGTGGCGCTACATGACGGTGTTGGAGATGAATCAGTCAGTGGTTCTCAGACTGGGCTCAGTGGAGGCTTTCCAGGGGGACAGCAAATCATTTCACTGCAGGGTCAGTGGAGTCTTTCCCGGGAGACACCAAATCATTTCACTTCAGGATCAGTGAAGTCTATCCAGGGGGTCACCAAATCATTTCACTTCGGCTCCGCGGATTCTTTACAGGGGGTCTGTGTTCAATCACAATAAAAATGTCAGTCTGATTTTCTCCAGACTCTCATCATGCTGCAGTAATGTATATCTCACGCATGATTTAATAACAGTGAGAAACTGGACTTGATTTGCTCAGATCTGTAAATATTGTCCAAAATGTCAGCGCTTTGTCATAAAATTAGATGGAAAGAAACTCCTTTGACTGCAGAGAGCTATTTTACGTTAGAATAGGAACTTGTCTTGGAATTATTTTAAACATGTACATGGGGTGAGACTGTTGTAAGTACTGATTTGAATCCTATCAGATTTGAAAGTGGTTGGTGAACTGATTGCTTGTGGAATTCATGATCAGATAATAAATAATGATTTTGAAAAGAGTTCAGTTGGTGCACACTGGATGTCGGTGGTGTCACCGTTATCATTTATGCTTGAATTATTTCTCTCTCATCATTATCTGCTGTGAAAATAATTCTCAGTTCAGCCAAATGAAAATATCTATTTTATAAAAATCATTTGCACTCTATTCCCGCAGAGTATTCAGACTGGGTCAATATTTATGCAATTTTAACCTATATTAGAGTGCAGGATAACATTTGAAAATTGCTTCTTCCTTCAACAACTTCTGAGATTCATTGGAATGAAAGCAAGGTTTGTAAGACAAAAAGCTATTTCATCAGTCAATCCAAGAATCAGAGCGTAAACTTGTTGTTTGTTTTATTTGCAAATTTCTCCAGAATATGTATCCTTACAGCTTCCCTTCCCAACTCATTTGGATTATTCCATAAATCACTTCTTTGAGTCAATGGGCTATTTGTTACTTGTGAATGCAACACAGTTTGCTGTGGAATTTCAGTCAGAGCCACCACACATTGGGGCATGAAGTAGGTAGTGGGAATATCCAACCGTTTTAGCTCTTGAGGCTGCAGGGTGCATAGATAGAGCTATTCAGCTGGTCCAAGTCCAGTCCCTTTCCTCCTGCTGTCCTGCAATATTGTTTTTATAGTCAAGTATTCATCCAATTCAAATTTAAAATTAGGTGTCAGAAGATTGTAATGTTGTAATTTTGTAAGATTGTAAATTTTCAACTTGTTTTAAATAAGTGTCAAACTAAATCCAGCAGCAACATGCCTGTGAGATTAACCTTGGTGGTGGGAAAATTTAAGGATAATCTTCCACATGGCTAAGCAAGTATGGAATAATTGTAGAAAGCCAGGATGAGTTTGTTAAAAGCAAGTCATGTTTAATTAAAGTGATTGAGATTCCTCATGAAGACACAGTTATGGGTTCAGAGAGCATTTGATTCTGGACTTGAAAAGGCTTTTGAGATTTTGTCACAGAAAAGAATTAGAAGTAAAATTGAAGCCTGTGGAAAGCAATGACAATGACAACATATAGAGAAATTCAACTGGGTAATAGTGAATGAGTTTTGCTTAGATGAGATGAGCTGTACAATGATGTTGTGTGTAGGTCAGTTCCAGCAGAACTAATTTTCTGGTATATATTAATGCTTTGTACTTGGAGATGCAGTCTCAAATTTTGGATGATACTGATGCCATTTGTGACGATGCTGTTACTTTAAAAAGTTCATTTTGTCCTGGGTGTTTTGAAGTGAGTTTGTAAAGGCAGAGAGACCGAAATGTGTACATGACCCGCCCTAAATCAATAGTTTAAGAGGCCTTTAGGTTTTCATAAATACTTCTAACAACAGAAGGCGAGTGGCCAGTTCTCGCAGGTGAGGTTTTCTCGTGGTTTGAGCCGCAGCAGTCGGAAGCTGCTGGTTCCCAGAAGAGTTGGAGCTTGAGTAAATGATTACTAACTGTGATTTTCTCTGAAATCTGTCATTATTGTTTCCTCCTGGATTGGAAAACCGCATGTAAGAATCTGTGGCTGAATTTACCTTTTTGCCAAGGGGTGTATGTATGGGATTTTACTATACTGGGCCAGTTAAGTAGTAATAGGTACTGCATCAATTATTTGGTTAAGTTTCGCAATAGCTAAGTTATTCTAAATTCCTCTTGCTTTTGTTTGTATTTCAACTATTGTGTTTAAGTAAATTGCTTGCTTAAAATTGAATAGTTTGACAAGTCACATGACATCTGGAATACAAACTCCACATCTACCTTCAAAATAAGAAACAGTTAGGGTCTGTGCTACCTTCTTAAAATATTTTGAAGGGTTCTTGTCTGGTCCATCACATATTTAAGTTAACATTGTTTAAACAGTGAGAATAGCAATAGACATAAAGAGATCAGAGACTGGTTCATGGAATGGCCTGACATGTCACAGCAGCAATTTAATGCAGGGGAGTTTGTAGTTGGATATTTTGGTTCTAGGCACTTTATCACTGTGAAACAACACTTTTACTGCTTTGCTCACATATGTATCCAAATCTCTCTGATCTGACACTTGCTTGAGGATTTACCTTTTTTTTCAATATTGCCCTTCTCTTTAAATCAAATAAATGCACAAAAGGAACAAAGCTAAGAAATTTCATAAAACAGTTATTTAACCTCTCCAGGTGTATTTTATCCAGTGCTGGCCGAGCACTTTGTGAAGTTTGCATATGATTCAGAAAGCATGGTTTCTGGATTGAGAGTCTGCATTTTAGAGGATAGGTTATTATCATGAGGGAAAAGCAAATTCTGGGCAGATTTACGAGAATTAGTCAAAATTATCAAGTGTCTGAACAGGACAGAGAAAGTTTGAGAAATTGTGTTGGCTGAAGTCCCGATCACCAGAAGAAAGGGACTTAAAGTGATTGGCAGAAAAATCAGAAGAGAAGGAGGACAAACTGTTGTTTCAAAGTGAGATATTGGGACCTGCAATCCATTACTTCTCCATAGTGTCAGTATGGACACATTGGACTGAATTGTCTTTTTTCCGCTGTGACCCAAGAATAATTCAGTGATTTTCCTGAATTTGATTTAATCCTGACTGATCTGTACATCAACTCCACTCACCTTGATTCCAATTTACTGCATCCTGCATCTATCCAAACTATAATTCACAACGAATAAGAGCGGCAGCTTTCTCCGTCTCCCATCAGGGAAAGCCAGATCTGGAATTCTGTCCATTATCACATTGAGGTTTAGACCACAGCACGAGACATACAGAGTGAGGGAGGCATGACGCTGGGAAAATTAGAAGCGGATTAATTAAAAGGGATGTGGGAGATGGGATGGGGGAGGTAGTGGCATAGTAAGGGAAAAGGTGGTTAGGGCTAGGAGAGGTAGGGTGGGTGTGAGGCTGAGAAGTGAGAGGAACGGTGTGAAGAGGTGGTGTTGTTGGAGGGGCATAGGCAGAAGAGAAGGATGAGGAGGAAAAGGAGGGACCATTCTGGCAATTGTACTGAAGACATGTACTCCACACCTAGCCAAGCTGTTTCAGTACAGCCACATTAATGGCACCTACTTGACAATGTGGAACATTACCCTGTTACGTCCTGCACACACAAAGCAGAACAAATTCAAATGAGCCAATTACCGCCCCTTGCACAAATTCACAAACACCAGTAAAGTGATAGAAGGTGTCATTAATGGTGCTCTCAAGCAGACCAAGCACAAATGGAAGATGGTTATCACTGTTGGAGGTTGGTCGTCTGATTTCCAGGATATCATGGGAAGAGTTCCATATGGTAGTGTCTTTGGTACAGCAATCTTCAGCCTCTTCATCAATGACCTTGCCTCCATCATAAGATCAAAAGTTGGGATGTTTGCTGATGATTACTCAATATTCAGCACTATTTGCCACTCATCAGACCCGGAAGCAGTCCGTGCACAAATGCAGCAAGACCTGGGCAATATCTAGCCTTGCGCTGACAAGTGGCAAATCACATTGATGTCACACGCGTACTCGTCAGTGACTGTCTCCAACAAGAGAGAATCGAACTGACAACTTTTAATGTTCAATAGAATTACCATGACAGAGTCCCCTACCATTAACTTACTGCAAGTTACCACTGACCAAAAATGCATCTGTACTAGTCATAGAAATACAAAAGCTACAGGTCAGAGCTAGGAATCCTACAGTTAACAACTTACTTCTTGAGTCCACAAAGTCTGTCCACCATATAAAAAGTACAAGTTAAGAGTGTGATGGAATATTCTTCATGTGCCCAGATGAACGCAGCTCCAAGACACAAGAAGCTTGACAGCAATCACGATAAAACTGCTCACTTATTTGGTGCCACATTCACAACACACTGCCCCCACAACTAATGCTCCTCAGCAGCAGTGTATACATTTACAAGATGCACTGCAGAAGTTCACCAAGGTTCCTCAGACAGCACATTCCAAAGCTACAGGCACTATCATCTCAAAGGACATGGACAGCAGATACATTGGAAGACCACCACTTGCAAGTTCCCCTCCATGACACTCACCATCCTGACTTGGAAATATATCACCATTCATTCACTGTCATGAATTCATGTCCTGGGATATCACACTATATGAATAGGCAACAAATGATACCCAGCCAGTGATATCCACGTCCCACAAATGATTAAAAAATATTATATTCAAATGCGCTCAAAAACAATTCGCCATTATTTGACATCAAATACTCTAATTTGGATCTTGTTTTTAGCAACCGTTTGCCATTTCCACATCAAATGCAATCAAAAATACAAAAGGCGAATGGAATACACTTGAAGGCATCAGGAAAAAACACTCTCAGAAACAAAATTAAATGTTCATTTGCATCAAATATGATCAGCAACCCAATTCAACTGAAACAAACTGGCATTTAATAACTTAAGTAATATCTGGATTTACCTTTCATTTAGATTCAGAATTCTTTTCGGAAAAAATGTATAAAAAACATCAAAACCTTTGAAAACAATCATTAGAATATTACAGATAGCTCAGTTCGAAGTGCCAGGACTGAATGTGTTCACCTCACTACCTTGCGACAGCTCGTCTAATATATTGTACATACAAGGCGGGTTTGCAGGTTTCTGTGTCTAAGAATTGGTAAATGTAGATGCTTGTGATTAACAATTTCAATAGCCTTTACAGATGTACGCTTTGTCCCATTGACTCGTCAATGCAAGCTTTGGCTTTTCCACATGCCTGAGGGCTGCCAATTTTTCAAGGAAACACTTACAGCATTTCCACTTTCTCCTGGTCATGGGCCTGATGATTAAGAAATTCTTTTGAACACATGACAATATTAATGATTGGAGATCTGTGCAGATGCCAAATGAAGGTAACTCAATGGTCTTTTCACAAGAAAAACCTGACTATATCTTTGTATTTACTCTCTCTATGATTTGTATTTACTCCTTTCGCAATTCCAGTCATGACTCTCCTGTCTTTCATTGCGGTGGCATCCAATGTTCCTGGCTGTATTTGGGGAAAGTCATCATACATGACCC